CTATGACTGACTTTTGTTATTTCAAAATAAAAAGAGAAATGTTGGCCACTTCTCTTTTTACTTTGAAATAACAAAAGATGACACATTTCTCGATGGTTAAATTAACAAATATGTCAGACAACGATTTTTGCGGAACTGGATTTTATAGTTTGGTATTATTTTTATAATAGGAGGATGCATTAAAGGACAACTCTACTTTAACATGAAGTACTATTAAATTTTCCAGCAGAGTTCTTGCAAAATAAATTAAAAATAAGAAGTGATATTTAAGAAGCTGTAATTAATTGAGAAAAAGGATCCTGTGACATTTGAAAAGTTAAAATTAATCAAGAAAAAGGAAAGAACAAGAGAATTATATATTTTGTATGGGATGATGATAATGATCTAAGAGGCTGCTACTGTAAATCAGAACGAAATGATAGGGAAGCTCATTTTATCTTAAAATATACGATCCAGCAATTCTTAATATGAATGTTTGAAGTTCTGTTACATTATCTAAAAAACACGATTGGACTTCACTTGCTTGCGTGGTACAAAAACGCTAGTTGGAACGAAAAAGACATTTATTATCGGAATGAAAAGATAATACAAATAATTCATTGGTAATTTCACTAATATAATTGTTTTCAAATCCTTTTGATAGTATATTAATAGTGAAAAATTAGTGGAATGCAAATAGCGCATCAGTATAGTCACAGAATTGTTAATGATAGAGACGGTATTATTAAATAATTCTTTTCAGTCTGGTTTCATCCTGTTTGGATAGCTTTGATGAGAATATTCTTGTCAATAGTTAGTGCTAAGAGGACCAGTTTAACTTATTTGCCTTTTACGAAAGAATTACAAAATTTATATTTTCTGAAGGGAGCAAAATTTTAGGGAGAAAAAAAGTAGATGTTATATTTTGTTATTTTCATTTTTGATGATTTTATTTTAATTTTTGATGAGGTTTTGCTATTTTGATTTTTATTTGTAAAAATGGAAAGTCATGATGGAAATCCAACTACCGAACCACCTTTGACCCATCTAATAGCTAAACATCTAAGCATAGCTAAGCATTGTTGTTGGGTATGTGTGCTTTTCTTCGTTGAACTCTCGACAATTTCACTATGTTACGAGACAATCCGACTGATTAATTCCATGAAAAATACAACGTTGCAGTCATTTTCGTGAAAGTTCACCACACATTCAACATAATTACCGGCAATCTCGCCATCTCAGTAGTCCGAATCCTGGGATAATAATTTATGCAATATTGCAGTCATCCAACGATACTAACAACAATTTAGCAAACCGTTTATAAACCCCAAGCTAACGAACAACTTGCAATCCAAACAAATTGTTCTCTAGCCTAAGGTTTAGGAAGGAAACGTAATCGTCTGAAGCTATCTTTTTATCCAGTTTTTATAGTGATATTGTTGATGGACAAAAAAAGAATACTTCCGAAAAAAGGCAATTCTTCATATAACATTTTGATAGCACAACTTTGCTGAGTAAAAATCGCATTGTTTTTATTTGTCACATTGACAAAATGAATAATTGATAGGCTGAACTTCTTTCTGCTTTTTTCACTATCCGAATTATCTCTACAAGGAATATGACTGTTGATAGCATAGTTCTAACTACAAACTGTTGATTGATTGCTATATGAAATGATTGTTTTTGTTTCATCTCATTCTTCAGCTCATTTTCAACCTTGGAATTCTTCATTCTTTTGTCTTCATTACAAGGTGCAGTTGTTAACTAAATTAATTATTGGAAATCGAACACTTATTAAACAAACATTTCACTTATTAAATAAACATTTTGCTCATTCCATACATTTTGCTTATGATTTTAGTGATATTAATATTTGAAATTTTTCCCTAATTAAATGGCCACTTTTTGTATGATGTAGACATTGTAAATGTAAGTCAAAAGTTGCTGTACATGAACTACCTAAAAAAGGCTACGAACCCTATCTATCACATCTTCCATCTGATTAGTCATCGGTCTCTCAGTCCATAAAAATTTATCTCCTAATAGTCGTTTCTCGTAGAATAGCATATTATTAAATAAACATATATTTCAATAGGATTCTTTCGCATCTTTGGGCGGAGATTTTTTTCTTGGACATATGATGGCATATGATCAAGTACCATATTTCCTCCACTTATTCACAGTTTTCGAGGTACTATTCTCCCATCTGTTCTTAATAGGAATTATTCATTTTGTATGTACAGAGAAACACGACTTTTTGTGCTTAGATCGAGAGATACTAAAATGTTATCATTTATCGAGAAAACTGTATACCAATCGCTCAAATTATCAATTTATCTTTTTTGAGATATATTTCTAAGTTCCAGTTTTGTATTCATCTACCATTAATTGATATGAATACTGCGCTTACAAATTTCCGAGCACTTCATTATGATGGTAGGCCATTTGTTGTGTTTTGGCTTCTAATGCAGCTCGATCCTTCTTGTGTTGCATGTACTGTTCAAGTTCCTAAATATTTATTATCAGTCGAAAACTATGTACAAGTAAAAAAAAAATTGTGGAAATGTCATACGCGTGTGCGCTGTTCGATCAGTTCATCAATTTCCGGTTCTCTGTGTTGCATATCTTCGGCTGGATCGTCTTCTCTTTCGTTATGCTTTTCCTCAAAGAACCGATTAAATTAAGGAATGGTCTCCCAATGATGTTTACTTGTCGAAATAATTGAAAGAAATTCATTGAAAAATCTAAAAACAAGAATCCGCTTACTCTGGCTGGAAAAAGCTCAAAATATGCTTCATGCCATATGTCGCGAGGATTCATAGCCCCAATAAGCGATAATGATGAGTTAATAAGAGGAGGAGCTCCAATATCCTGTGAAATACTTTTCACGGATCATTCAAACTTGATGAGATTTTTCCAATTCTTGCTTAATTTTAATATTTGTCTTGAAACACTTCCTTAATCTTTATAAAGTTGAGAAAAGCAAAAATGCAACTGAACCACTAGCGAGTCCGCACCGCAAGGTACTGATAATGGTTGGTTGTAATCAGTGCAGATCGTTTTTGGAGCTGTAGCACCGAAAACAACACTACTGAGAAGAATTCGAATTTTAGTCACCAACTTTTCCATTTTGCTGCTGAACATCTATATTATATACCATAAACCGTTGAAAGACATTTGTGGTTCTTACACAGTTTATACTTTTTAGTATCAGTAAATAGCAAAAGAAGATCGAGACTTATTTGTGAGATGACACATAAGAATGAATAAATATAATTGTACCGCGAGAGTGGCTCCATTCGTATGTGCCAAGAAACGAAGGAATTTGCATATATTTTTTCGTTGTTCAGGTTCGTAGTCCTGCAAGGAAGTCATTAATTCTTATAAGTGTCTTATACATTCCTGTCCCATTTGATCCTCAGCAAATAATAACCTGAAATTCGTCGTATTTCGCACCGAGTAAAATCAATGGTATCGGAAATGGATCGATATATTCTGCATCCTATAATTATTTGAATATGGTAATCTTTTGTCTAAAATACATATCCTTTGGAAGACTTGAAAACCAACCAATTTACTCTTAAAGCTTACGTCACTGATTTGCTGGTTAACCTGAATGTTACACCTTTAAACTTTCTAGGACCTGTAATTATGAAACTGTTTCCTAGCGCACCAAAGTTTAAAGTTAACATATCTTTTGATTAGGCATAATAATTTGCGTGTAATTATTCCCAAAAATATCTTCTTGCCAACACCTCCTTGCATTAGAAGAGGATTCAAGTAGATACTTTATGATTTTTGAAGGCTGCCTTCCTATCAACCATAAATGCTTCATCACTATCAGATGACTTCTTGACAAACTGTTGTATCGCATTGTCGACGATTCCACGAGCACTGTCCAGTAAGGTATAAAATGTACTCCACATATCGTAAGGTGCAGTTAAGTCGATAACAATCATTATAGAGCATTGTCTAAAAAAGAAATTTAGCTGGACATCAATAAAGGTACGCTTAAACAAGGACAGAAATATCACTGAAAGATTTCCGGAGTTAAGCAATCACTATGGTGACATTCAAAGAGAATTGTTGTGAACGTTATTTTAGACATAGAGATGATAAGGCGTTGTAATTAACTACTCACACATGTACAATTAACAAGAATACTCTTGCGACTATCACTTACTGTATGTAATTGCTGGAAAGTGGTATTTGTAGAAGATTGCAAAGGTTTGTTCCGCCTCCCAATTCCCATATATGTCCAACGTCTTTCACCTGTAACTTTTCAGATTTAATAACAGCATAATTACTGATAAGATGGAGATCCTATTCGCAAATGGCATTGTCATTTCATTCGTAGACTTGCGCATATCACTGATAGCAATGTCAACTATCTCCTGAATATTAAGCCTCCGGAGATAGATTAAAATATCAGAAGAGTTACTAACACTATGCATATTCGTGTAAGAGAAAAGTATACCAATACCTTGCCTCGATTTCGTCTTCCATACATGTACTCCAAGGCAATAGTCGATTTTGCGTCCTCATTTCGATTCAAAAATCGTAGTATCATTGATGTCTTTCCCTGCAAAAAATCATTACCCATCTTGAGATAAAATTAAAAGAAACATGCGTTCCATTAGCTGTCTCTTACCGCTCTCATTAATTAAGTAATCTAGGAATAACCTTGTAAAAGGAACTGGAAGAAAATAAATATGAACTATAGAATTCTGCTTTATCTGCCAAACAAATTTCCTTTCCCAGCGCCGAATAAATCTCTTTTTCTTTATCACTCCAACAATTTTCGTTATTATTTAAATTTTAATTTTGAATCGATTTAAGAACAAAATTTCTTCCTTACTAATCGAGCAAATATTGAAAACTTACGCAATTTTTGCTTCCACAAATAACCAGACGGGTATCGCTCGCTCGTGAATCGCTTCCTAAAAGAAAAACGGGTCATGATATGTAAGTTTCAGCTATCATGCGGAAATACTTTCCAATTCTAAGCAATAAAAGAAAATACCGATAAGACTGGCATAAGTGGCACTTTCTTGCTGTCGTGCGGTTCGTTTCTGAGACTCCTCTAAATACTGCTGTCGTGCCAATGACCAGATATCTAACATGACCCTCAATTCACCTTATCACTTTCTTCCTTGCAGCAATGAAAGCAATGTCCATAAAGTCTCGGACATACCATGAGAATTGATGCCTTTTTCGTTGCCATGGTAGTAAGCCTGCATAGCAATTGTTGAGTATCAACAGAGCTAAATTTTTCGATTTATTTAAACTATGACTTGTTGGCAATCATGAGATATGTTAGTTAATATCTGAAATAGAAGATTATTGATGTACGAGGTATAATGGAAGAAGTTGCAGGCCTATGAACTGAAATAAACGGTGCCAAAGAGAATGAGTGATGTTTAAGATAAAAAAGTACAATACATGTGATTTCATCCAATGGATATGACAGAAAACACATAAAAACAATTGCGAATATTTGGAGAACCTCTTCCTACTCTCAAAAAAAGGCATTCAAACTAAATTTTACTCGAAATTAGTATAAAAGCGACAAATTTTATTCTGATTAAAGAAAGCAAACTGTTATTGTTACACAGAGTAACGTTACTGCAACTTATTCTCCGGCCTCAGGTTTACGAACGGTTTGTTAAATTATTATTAATATTGTTGGATGACTGCGATAGCGATCAACTTCCCGGAAGTGTTGTATAAATCATTATCCCAGATTCTGACTGCGAAGTTGCCTGTAATCATGTTGGATGTTTCATTTATGCGAGACTTTCACGAGAATGACTGCCAGTGTTTTCATCTGTTTTTCATGGAATTAATCAATCGGATTGTCTCGTAATGTAATGGTGTTGTCTGAAGTTTTAACAAGGAGAAGCACATATATTCGATAATCGAACGCTCAGCTATTAGATAAATTAAAGACAGTTCAGTAATTGACATTGTGCATCTCTTCTATACATTCATATGACCATTTGAAATCATGCTGAATTCGCCTTTCATAAATCAAAAATGTCTTAATAATACAAGAATTTAATCTATAAACAAAACTTCACTCCTTTCGGAAATTCCAACTTTCATATTCATTCGTAGGACTTCTAGTCGGTTGGTCTTCTTTACATTGACTAGTAGTGGTAGATACCTCTGTCGACGATTCACATTTTCTAAGCAGAAGGAATGGAGAGCAGTCATTTCAAAAAATTGTGATACTGGTATTTATACTGTGACTGTACATCTTTTTATACACTGCCGTTGGACATTAATAATTATCACTGGTCATAATTGTCATCATTTAATCGGCTGTCGTTACTAACTATCAGCTGATCTGACGACGCTTACTGCAATATTTATCACAAACTTATCAGGAATGTTCCATATAATTGAACAGAACTGAGTGTGACTATAATAAATCGACTGAAGAGTAATTTGAACTGCCAAAAATTCCATCATTTCCACTCAATAGTCAA